AGGATATTGAGTTATAGCTTTAAAGGTAGGTATTTATTGTATGATATTCATGAATTCCATACAGCTCTTTCCAAACTAAAGCATATGTTCCACAAACGAGTATCTATCACTGAGAAGTGTGTCATAGAAACTGGTTATTAACAATAGAGTGTGTGTTCGGGATTGATTCCTTTCTATTTTTAAATTAGGCTAGATTCAAAGTTCCTCCAATAATAAGTTTACTCTCATTCCTCTGCAAACTACAAGGTTTTTTAGATCAGGAAAGGAAGGGGTGGAGTGATAACTACTTTGCCGGGATTCCTGCATTTCACTAACATTCCCAAGAGGCTGTATCCCTCATGTAAAAGGTATTCCTCATTAAAGTTCTGGTGTTGGAGGAAAAAAAAACATGGCAAAGTGCTGCTCTAATACATACTATACCATCATTAATTTTATAAGTGCATAGAAGAACATATATAACACCTCATTGCTATTTCACTGAAATAAAAATGGCTGACATTAATAACAAAGCAACACGACAAAGCAAACACAATGTGTGTATATTTTCTCCTACTCACTGGAATGGGCTCAGTTCCTTATCTGTTGGGTTTTTTAAAATATAATTGCCAAGTTCTACCCTTGATTATGTGTCCTTCAGATAAGGAAGTGAATGCTCAGTGTCTGAGAGCTCCAACCATGGAAATTACAACCTGTCAGGACCCTGCCATCTTGCCCAAAGTATACATTCTCCAGTAAACAGGCCCTCCCCCTCTGAGATCACTGCACATGGCAGATCTCCAAAGGCAAGAGAAGGGACAGCTAAAAATAGACAGTTTTAGGAAAATGCTATGATTAATCAGATAACTGCTATCTGAAACATGCAGATATCAAAACATTTTAAAAGGCAGAAACACAGTCATTCACGAGAGGAAGCTAAATGATCTAATTCATGTTGTATTTGTCCAAAAGTGGAATTCCAAAACCATCTATCTTGCGCATTCAATTATAAGTGGAATTAGATTCTTTTGCTGTTTTACACTTAATTACATTAAGAAACGTGACTAAATAAAGCATTTAGAAAAAATATTAAATGTAGCTGGCTACTCTTAATGATTCAAGATAAAGTTATTAACTTCAAAACATTTATTCCATTTATTGTTGATGAAAAATATCGATAACTCCTCTCGCAAAAAAAAAAATGTGGTTTTGTTGGCAGTTTGTTCACATTTCCTTTATACTCTTAATGGGGATTGTTTTGATAATTTAGAAGTACAAAATAAGTGGCACATTGACAAGAATTTTTTTACCATCTGTGGCAGTTATTACAAATCCTGGTGTCTTTCCAGCTCATCACTTTCAATTTATTCTATCTATTGTACTTAAATATTTTTAAATGCCTAAATGCAATTTGGAAAACTAATTAGATAAGTGCTCCATGTCTAAATATTGTATTTCATATGATAATTAAATATATACATACAACAAAGACAACATGTTAAGAAAAAAGTGCATGTAGGTCTCCTATTTCTGGCAACGGAGCACACTACATAGTCTAAAAATTTCTCTGTGCAAGCATTTAAAATGATGTATATCAGAAGTACCACCTCCAGCACTGACATTATGCTTCTAAGTGGGATGGAGTTGTTAATGTCAGACCAATGATTTTGCCAGGAACCTAGAAAAGCTATATAAAATATAAACATTGTCTGCTTAAAGGCATCACATAGTTGCTGAAGCAGGAAGTAAAGAAAGAAATAAAATTTCAGAGGGAAGACCCATGAAGCAGTAAGCTGACCTTCTGTAGCCACTTTCCCCAGAGGAAATGCTCTGTCCAATTCCTGGATATAAGCAGAAGCTGAAATACAGTCTTTGCCTGATTAGAGAACTGCTCCTGGTTGATGCAGAAACCCACAGAGTTTTGGCAGTTTTATGCAGCTGAAGTGACACAACTGGAGGGTCTCAAATGAGGAAAGTTTCTCTTCAAGAGAGCTGCAAAGGATGAGAGGAAGAAAAGCTGGGCTGAAGCCCTCAGAAAGGGAAAACCTTTGGCAATCTCAGTATAACAATGAGACAAAGATTGGAGTTCATGATATGTCCAGGGGGCGGAGCCCCAGCACACACATCAAGCTCTCAGCTGAAAGTTTCAGAGGACATCAGCGTGTGAGGGGGGTGAACCAACTGTAAACTGAGCTTTGCCAAAACTTCAATCCAGACCATAGTCTGCTTCAGCCCCTTAGCAAACTGACGTGACCTGCCCCCACTCTATCTCCTTAGCAAGGAAAAAGGTAAACTCTCCCTGGAAAAAGAAAATATTTTAAACACACACACGCTTCATTCATTTAAAAATTACAATGCCAAGGAAAAGAACTCTACTGAGTCCTTAAGGAAGAAATATATGTACTAGAAACAGACCCATAGGAGAAAAGAATTTTAAAATAACTGTAATACGTTTGAGAAAATGGAAGACAAGATGGAGAAAAAGAAACCAATAGAGGATTTTACCACAGAACAGAAATCCTTAAACACACACACACACATCAAATGAAACTCTAAAATGGAAAGTACAATCTCCAAAATTAAAACTCAAAATATGGGTTTACAAACAATATATACAATATATTGTGTGTGTGTATATATATATACACGCACAAAATACAATACAATACAATACAAGAAAGTATTGGTGAACTAAAAAATAGGTCAACAGGAAATATGCAAATTTGAAAGTACAAAGGAAAACAAGAATGGGGAGGGGCACAGAAATATGTAGGATATATGGGAAATTTTTAATATGTGTGTATTTCAAATCCCATAAGAGGAAAGTGAGAATGGGAAGGAAGAAATATTTGAAGAGATAACAAAAGAGAATTTTCCAGAACTCATATGTACCATCATCTCACAGATTTCAGAAACCAAAGCAGAGTAAACACAAAGAAAATCACCCACAGGCATATCAAAATAAAACTGCTGGAAACCAAAGACAAAAAGAATACTGGAAAAGAAGCCAATGGAAAAGAAAGTACATGGTCTTCAAAGGTGTAATAATGAGATTAACAGCTAACTTCTCAGTAGAAGTGATGGAAGCTAGAAGACAATGGAATGATACCTCTTTAAATACAGAATGAAAATAACTGCTAACCTAGAGTTCTATAGCCAGTAACAATACTCTTCCAAAGTGAAGGTGACCTAAAAATATTTTCAGACAATCAAAAACCACAGCACTAACTATTCTAACCCTCATGTGGTAGACTGAATAATGGCCTTCCAACAATGTCCAGGTCCTAATCACCAGAAGCTAGGAATATGTTACATTACACAGAAAAAGGGGCTTTGAGGATGTAATTAAGGTTACTAGTCAGTTGACCTCAAAATAGGAGAATTATCCTAGATTATCTTGGTGAACCATGTGTGATTGCATGAACCCTTCCAAGCAGAGCTTTCTTCTAGCTGAAGGCAAAGAGAAAAGCAGAAGGAAAATACGGCAGAAAGGAAGGTCAGAGAGATTTCAGTGCATCATGGTGGGCTCTAAGATGTGCAAGCCCATGTGGGAGAACAAGAGAGAGCCCTCTAGGAGCTGAGGGTGTTTCCCCTGCTGATAGCACAGAAACTGAACCTCAGTACTACACCTGAAGTTCGGGGCATCTGAACATGTGTACAAGAGACTGAGACAGAGCTGGGAGTGAGAAGAGAAGGGGGAAGGAACAGACTGGGAGCAAGGGCCTGCCTCTGAATGTCCTCAGGTAGAATGCCCTGGAATCAAGAAGTTCTAAATTAGAACCTGAATTTATAGGAGATTGTAACTGTGTAGTCATTAAAATAAAAAATATATATACTATAGTCATCTAGATGGTACAGTACTAGCATATGGACAGATATGTGAATCAATGAAAAAGAATTGAGAGCCCAGAAATAAATGCTAACATTTCTGGTTTTCAATAAGTGTGCCAACCAAATGCAATAAGAAAGAAATACCCTTTCCAACTAGAAACAATTGGATACTCACAAATAAAAAATACCTCACACCATACAAAAAACGTTTACTCAAAATTATCATAGACCAACATGTAAGAGTTAACACTATAAAAATCCTAGAAGAAATGGGAATAAATCTTCCTGACCTTGGGTTAGTTAGGCAATGATTTCTTACATATGACACTAGAAGTACCTGCAATTTAAAAAATTGATAAATTAGATTTAATCAAAGTTAAAACCTTTTGTACATCAAAAGATATTATCGAGAAACTGAAAAGACAACCTATATGCTGGGAGAAAATATTTGCAAATCATGTAAGGAACTTGTATCCAGAGTATATAGATAATCTTCAAAACTTAATGGCAAAAAGATAAGTAGCCCAATTAGAAAATCAGCAAAAGACATGAAGTGATATTTCACCAATGAGGATATACATGTATCAGGAAAGCACATGAAAAGAGGTTCAACATCATTAACTACCAGGAAAATGCAAATTAAAACCACAATGAGCTACCATTATAAAACTCTCAGAATGGCTAAAATTAAAAATAGTGACAACACCAAATGCTGGTGAAGATGCAGAGAAATCGTATCACTCATACACTGCTGGTGGAAATGTAAAATGGTACGGTCACCCTGGGAAACAGTTTGGCAGTTTCTTATGAAAGTAAATATGTGGTTACCGTATGACCCAGCAAACTGCATTCTTTATGTCAGAGCGATGAAAACTCAAGTCACATAAAAATCTGTACATAAATGTTCATAGAGGCTTTCTTCACAATAGTCAAAGACAAAGCAGCTCACGCAGTGCCCTTCACCAGGGGAATGACTGAACAAACTGTACGACATCTGTACCATGGACTACTGCTCAGGGATAAAAACACATGAACCACTGATCCATGTAGCAGCTTGGATGATTTTCCAGAGAATTATGCGAAGTGAAAAAAAGGCCAATCTCCAAAGGTCACATACTCTGTGATTCCATTATGTGACATTCTTGAAATAACAAAATTACGGGAATGGAGCTCAGATTAGTGGTTGGCAGAGGTTAGGAACGGTGGCAAGAGGTAGCTGGATATGGTTATAAAGAACCATACTAGACATCCTTGCAGGAATGAAAACTGTTCAGATTTTGATTGTGGTCTTTGGTCCCCAAACCTGCACAGGTGATAAAAATGCATAGAACTAAGTACACACGCACATGCACGCACATGCACGTGCGCACGCACGTGCACACACACACACACACACACACACGCATAAAATAAGAAATCTGAGTAAGATTGATAGATTGTATCAATGTCCACAACCTGGTTGTGATATGCTAAGATAGGTTCCCATTGGGAGAAACTGGGCAAGTGTACAGGTCTTTTCTTACACAAACCTGTGAATCTACAATCATCTCAATAAAAATTTCAGCTAAAAAAAGACAAAGGCATATAGTACACCTGAAACTAATATATTGTTATACCTCAATTCTTTAAAAAGACAAATGATTTTATTTTTTTAAAGATTTTATGTATTTATTTGAGAAGGGGAGAGCAAGAGAGCATGCACGAGCTGGGGGAGGGGCAGAGGGAGAAGGTGGCTCCCCACTGTGCAGACAGCCTGATACGGGATTTGATCCCAGGACCCTGGGATCATGGCCTAAGCCAAAGGCCAATGCTTAACCAACTGAGCCACCCAGATGCCCCAAGGCAAGTGACTTTAGTAGATATTTTTGCCAAGAAGATGTACAAATGGCCAATAGGCACATGAGATGTTCAACACCATTAGTCATTAGGGAAAAACACACTGTCAAAACGACAAAACCACAGTGAGATACCATTTCTTACTTTCTCAGTGGTTCTGGTGGGAAAGGCAGATAGCAGGACGTGATGTTGTGGGTGAGGACAAATCCGAGCCATGGGGTTGCCACTTCAGGAAACAGCCTAGAGGTATTTCAAAAAATGAAATACAGACTTACATGAGATGAGCAAGTCCATGTCTAGCTCTCTACCCCCAAAGAAAGGAAAACATACACCCACACAAAGACCTGTACAGAGTGGTCATAGCAGCATGATTCTTAACAGCCAGAGTGGCAACAGTGTAAGTGTCCAAGAACTGATAAATGGAGAACAAAATGTTGTGTATCCATGCAATGGAATACTACTTGACAATAAAAAGGAATGATGTATTAAGTCATGCGAAAAACTGGGAGAACCTCAAAGCCATGGTGAAGCAAGCTAGACACAAAATACCACTAACTGCATGTTTTTATTTGCATGAAATGTCCAAAAAACAGAACATTATAGAAGCAAAAAAGTAGAAAAATAGTTCCCTAGGGCTGGAACAGATGTGGGGAATGACTGTTAATGGGCAGGAAGTTTCTTTTTGGGGGTGATGGAAATGTTCTAAAATCAGATTGTGTAGGGGCACCTGGGTGGTTCAGTGGGTTAAGCCTCTGCCTTTGGCTCAGGTCACGATCTCAGGGTCCTGGGATCAAGCCCCTCGTTGAGCTCTCTGCTCAGCAGGGAGCCTGCCTCCGCCCTCCCCACCCCCCCCGCCTGCCTCTCTGCCTACTTGTGATCTCTCTCTCTCTGTCAAACAAATAAATAAAATCTTTTTAAAAAATAAATAAGGGGCGCCTGGGTGGCTCAGTGGGTTAAAGCCTCTGCCTTCAGATTGGGTCATGATCCCAGGGTCCTGGAATCGAGCCCCGCATCAGGCTCTCTGCTCAGCAGGGAGCCTGCTTCCTCCTCTCTCTCTGCCTGCCTCTCTGCCTACTTGTGATCTCCGTCTGTCAAATAAATAAATAAAATATTTTAAAAATAAAAAAATAAAAAATAGAAAATAAAATAAAATCAGATTGTGGTAGTAAGGGTACATCTCTTTAAATATACTGAAATTCTTTGAACTGTATACCTAACACAAGTGAATGTTATGCTATGTAAACTGTATCTTAATAAAGCAATTAAAATGAAAAAACAAACCAAAAATAATCAACTAAACAAATACAGTGCATTCTCAGAACATATTTTAATAGTCTGTAAGTTTGACTTGAAACTGTGGAATATTTAAACCTGTGGTAAGTGGGTCTCAGTTTGTGTTAGGGACAGCCTGTCATTGTCACTAGTGAGACGAGGCACTCAGTGCTGCATTCATACTAGGAACCAAGCCCTGAGACCTGGGTGACTAGCTTGAGGAACACACCAAAGAGAGAGGGGGAAATCTGTGGGGATTTAGAAAGTTCTCGTCGTGCTGATGGAAGCTGCCTTAAGCCTTACCCCTTCAAAGTGCTTATGGTTCTCTTCACTCTGTGCTTCTGCTAGTCACTGAGAACAAATTTCAGTTTATTTCCGCGTTTCCACCAGAAGGCTCCCATCACTGATCCTCTCCTAGCCCCGACTTCAATGCATTTTATTTAGTGAAGTTCATGGACGAAAGTTCTCTAGCCACAGCTCCTAACTCCTACAATTCAATTTATGGTCCCTTTTATTTATCCTTTTCCCCTTTAAGCCTCCCCTGATAGATTCCATGGATAAATTAAAGAACAACATAATGAAAATAAAAATAAACTTACAGAGTCATAATTTTGATATAATTCAGCATCTATGCAGAATCGCCTACCACCTAATATCACCCCAGAGTACAGGCCAGGGAACGTATTATCGCTGAACAAAAGCAATGATGCTGTGGTCAGACCAGCCCAAGCACTGCATTCCCAGAAAGGGAAAATGCTTCTACGCTTTGTCATGCATTAATTAAGAGCTCAGTGCTCTTGCGTATGTCTTTGCTCGGTGGCCCAAGGATCTAAGTGATTACCACCTGGATTTGATGAGTCAGACTCTAAATATTAAAACATCCCCCCAGGCAATGTCTGTTGCTCAGATCTGCCCTTTTGTGGCTAGAGACGCTAACCGTTTGGGAGGCTCAGGTCCCCAGGCTCTTACCCAGCCCAACAGCCCTCCTCTGCTGAGATCGGCCTTCACAGAGGTTGGTTCAGCCCCAAGGAGAAACCCACAGAAATCTGCAGGCACAGCATATGGAGAAACTTTTAGGGACTGGGCTGTGGGCAAGCTACCTGCTGGATTGTCTCCGTTTCCCCTTCAGACTCCGTTTCCCCTTCTCCATCTTCCTCTCTCCTGCTCTCCCCCAGGAGACGTGGGCTGGACGGACTGCACCAACGGGGCTCCCTTGCCCTCTTACTTCCAGGTAGATCTGGCTGATGAGCAGAAATTGACAAGGCATGGGGGACCAGGTGGAGAGAGACAATGGGGTATTTATTTCCCAGCTGTCCCTGGTCAGACACCCGGGTTGTCCACAGATGGTCCCCTACCCAAGAATAACCGTTCCTCTCCAGGGCCCTGTTCTATAATGGTGGGTCTTACTGGACTAGCAACCACTTCCATAGCTTGTTGCTCAGGCCTAGGGGAGTGGCAGGGTCCCTGCTGCGGCTAGCCCCTGGGTGCGTCCCTACCACTTGTTAGATTCCCATAACCCTACCCACTCCTTCGTTGACATTCCCTTCATAAAACTTTCTTCAGTCACTGCTTTTGAGAGTGCTTTTCATGATCCAAGCAGCTGATAGGAGTTACCATTGGGGAGGAGAATTAGGAGGAATTGATCAACAGTTTAACATTTTATTTTATCCTGCTCTATAGTTTTTTAATATATTTAAAAGTGAGTAGGTGTTTCTTTAATAGTGTAAATACACACACGTGCGGGCATGCGCAGAAGGGTACCTCTTTTTTGTAGCATGCTTCCCATTCAAACATTTGCAGAGCTTTTCAGTACTTCACCAGCTGTGGTGAAGGAAGCGTGAGCCCGCATCTCTACCACAGTGACATGTTAGCATCCAGCCCGCGATGTGCGCTCCCAAGGTGCTTAGAAGGCCCACGCACCTTTCCAACACCAGGCGCCTTCTGAATCTGAGACCTTATTTCAAGTCTGGGATGTGGGCAATTTTACACAGAGCCCTTTCAAAACTCCTAGCCGGAGAGAACAAAAGGCACAGGTTTGTGTGTGGTACACAGCGAGCTCATCTGCTCACTGATCCTAAAGAGATAAAACTGTTTTATTTTTGCTTTTGCTTTGTCTAACCAACTATTTGTGCTTTGATCAAAAGTACAGGGATAAGTCAACTTCCCAGCCTCAGATTTTAGCTAACAGCTTAACCTGAAGCTATTATAACTCCAGCCTCATTTAACTGGACTTGAAGGCCCATCGATGAAATGGATTTAAATCCGAGAACCTCGTACTGCTAGCCTGTGCTTGGAGGTCCCTCTGGGTTGCTATCTCATGGCCAGTGAACTTGAGCTGACCCATGGCTTCCTTCTGGTTCCCCAACAAGGGGAAATTCTTCTCATGATTTCCTTCATTCTCGTTAGGATTTTTCTACCTCTACCTTCTCCAATTTCCATTTTTAATTTGCTTTTGCTTCCTAAGTTCACTTTTTTCCTCGGTGAAGAAGCTTAGTTCCCAAAAGTCATGAGAAACTTTGTAGTTCCAAAACGAGACCCAGAAAAGGCATCAACCAATCAAATCAAATGGTAGAAATATTGGTTGAGTTAGTTGTTTGGAATCAAGATGATTCCTTCTCACAGACCACAGTCGCCATAACCACACACACACACACACACACACGTTCCAGAAACACCAGTATACAAACACTAAATGTAAAGGAGATATAATCCCCATTCGCAGACCGTATGTCCAATTAGAGGCCCAGGAATAACATGTTCTATACATTTGTGGCTCGTCTGTCTCAGTACATTTTTTCTTGCACCCCCAGATGTGTGAGAAATATAGTTCTACTCTTCAACTCACACCTTCTATCTTTCAAGCCATCTCTACACCATTACCATTTCATCAGAGTGGGAGAAGCTAACTCTCATTCAATCCTTTATCTGAGGTTGTATCTCGGCTTTGGGTGGTGGTAGTAGGGGTCTCACATCAGGCCAAGGTGTCCAGAGGGGGAGAAGAGTCAGTCGGGCCCTCGCTGTCCTCAGTCCACACTGGCATCCACGTAGACATGCATTGCCTGCCTGGTCCTTAGTATTTGGTCTACACACGTGCTCAAAGAGATAGTTGCCTTCCATTCTGCTCACTCCTTCAAGTTTTAGGGTCCTCTCCCTGAATCCTGGGGCCCTTGCGGATACCCAAAAATCATCCTGCTACCTTCCCATAGCTACCTCTTCTCCAGAATCTGGTGGCCTCCTGGGGCCCGAGGAAGGCAGGGAACACGTACTCTCTCGACCCTCAGACACACAAGCCTGTCTGCAGTTTTGTGGCTGTACCAAACCATGATCAGAGAAGCAGATGCTGAGCGCGTCCTCCTGGAACCCACCAACATCTTCACAGTTACTGCCTTCTATCACTTTTATTCTGCTCTTACTAAGCAAAACTTGTTCTTTTAATTTTTTTTTAAGATTTTACTTATTCATTTGAGAGAGAAAGCACAAGCAGGAAGAGAGGCAGAGGGAGAAGCAGGCTCCCTGTCAAGCCAGGAGCCCAACCTGGAGCCTGATCCCAAGACCTGGAGATCATGACCTGAGCTGAAGGCAGCAGCCCAAATGACTGAGCCACCCAGGCTCCCCTCTTGCATTTTTTTTTTTTCCTGGCAAAAGTAAAAAAAAGTTTGTTTGTTTGTTTTTACTGGAGGTCAAATTGAATGCTGAGAGGAGCAGGAGGTTTGCACAGACGAGAGATGTCCCAGGACCTATTCAGCACGGCAAGACCTTCTGCAGGATATATTGTGCCACCACTGGATCCATTTAAAAGAGAAAAAAAAAAGAGAGAGAGAGAAAAAAAAAAGAGAGAGAGAGAAATATAATAATTGTACTTTTAACTATCACTTTCATAAGACTTTGGAAATTAAATCTCATTTAAATCTATTTCAACTTATGGTTTAAAAAATTGGGAGTATCATCAACCTGATCATTTACAAGGG